CCTGGGGGTGATTCAGACCCCCTCTGATGCAGACACCCTTTCTTGTTGTGAGATGGCATTTGACCCATAAGAAGATCCAGGTTATGATTCCTTGAATGACCCATATCTGTGGAATGAACCTCAAAATAGCCTGCCTTCTGGGGTGACTTATCAGAACTGCTCTTCTGATCACCAGTTCAGCCCCCCTCATAGTCCACCTGCCCCTCAGCCCCATTTCAATCACCTATGACCTCTTGAGGTGTACCACCTTCTTGTCAGGGAATGCATTTGTCAGGGGATGTCCCTAAAATCAATTGTGGACAGCTGCAATTGACAACAATCAGAGCACAGTCACATGGCATGACACCCCAAATGACAGCTGATGCTACAATCACCTGACTCCAAGAAGGACAGATCCCAGAACATGAGACATCAGTCATAGATCATATGGGACCAACCAGACAAGAGACATAAGGTGCCTGCCCTAAGCAAGCTGTATAGTCAGCCACAGACTTTGCTTCCTTTTACTTCCATACCTAGACATATATAGAACCCTAGGTATAACCCCTGTAGCTCTTTAGAGCTAATCTCTTAGGAACCCCATGGTTCAAGGTCATTAGGTTCTAAACATGAAGCTTTGATCATTCCAAACATGCACACAACACACACACAATTGTGTCTGTCAGCTGCCAATCACCACTTACTCTATAAACCCCTGTTGATTACCCCATTTGAGAACAAACATTGAGGTATTGATTGATGTATGACTCACTACTCTCCGATTTGCTTGTTCCTGTTTGGTTATTCAATCATCAATGATTGTTGGATCATGTTGCCCTCACAACCAAATCATCTTCAGGCATGTTTTGCAACATAGTGGTCTAATACTAGGCCTGTACTAGGCCTGAACCAGAGTTATGAACATTAAAGTGGAATTGATAACATTGGTGTACCATTGTCATCTGCACACATGGGGCAAAAGCTCAACTCCATCTACATGACAATTATTCTTGGTGGTCAATGGGAAATCATTGGGTGAACATTCATCAGGTGAGGATGGACACCTCTCATGAAATGGGGGATGGTGACTTCCATGCTGGATGGAGGATCAACCTGAGTGGCTGGTTATGTGGTGGGAAAAAAGGGCTGACATGCAGAAGGTGTGGTTTGGGGGTAATTGGGTCAGTGTCAGGGCACCAGCTCATTGCTTAGTCAAGAGACATGACTAAGCCTTTATGACATGGAAGTAGCTGGTATACCTTGGCATGTGCTGGAACCTGTTGGAAGGAGGAATAAATATAAGGCCTACTCTGCCTGGGGACTGTCTCTTCAGACTTGGTCTCTTAGGATCATCCACAGGTACCTATACTGTAGATAGGTCTTAGTCATCAGGTCTACTCCACTTCCTTGTTGCCTGCTTAGACTCTTGGCACTCTTAGGTGAGCAGACTTAGTCAGCCTGTGTTGCCCTAACAGAAGACCAAGTCTCCAAGTGACAACCTCTGCTTCACCACTCCACCTCTACTCTTACCTGTTTTACTC